TCCACACAACTAAAAGCCAGCTAGTACCACAACATACATGTACATTTTTATGGATGATCATAAACTCTATAGAACTTTGTTTCAGCTTGCCACGAGAAAAGATAGTGAAGCTTCTCGAAATGATTCATATCATACGTGGAAAGGATAAATGTAAAATTAGGGACCTTGCTTCACTCCTAGGTTCATTCGTGGCAACACTACCAGCAGTTAGTTATGGCCTCCTGTATACCAGAATACTTGAGAGGGAGAAACTTATAACGCTACTTCAAAATGATTTGGATTACGAGGCTAACATGAGGATCTCTAAAGATGCTCAGGCCGACTTGTCGTGGTGGTTAAGTTCCATACTGAAAGCCAAAAAATACATTGGGACAAAGAAGTTCGATGTCACGATTTTCACGGATGCGTCAGATTCAGGCTGGGGAGCGATTGACGGGAAGACAGACGTGTGTCGTAGTTGGGACGAGACTTAACAACGCGTACACATAAACATGAAGGAGCTACTGGCGGTCCAGCTAGCTCTCAATACCCTCGAAACGGAAGCACGGGATAGCTCTATACTACAAAGAATCGATAATACAACTGCATTGTCGTACATTAGTAAGATGGGTGGTGTGGCTTATCCACACTTAAACAGTTTGGCCCGCGAAATATGGCAATGGGCAGGAATCCGGAATAACTGATTACTTGCTTCTTATATGTGATCTTCCGATAACGTTAGAGCAGACCAGCTCTCCCGGGTGGACAACGAGGATGCCGAATGGTCCTTAAATAACAGAGCTTTCGAATATATTACGCTAAAATTGGGAATGCCGGCATTAGATCTTTTTGCGAGCAACAAAAATGCTAAGTGTACGGTTTTCTTTGCTTGGAAGCCCTGTGAAGCAACAGCCCTTGTAGATGCCTTCACAGCAGCCTGGTCTGACTTGGAATTGTATGCGTTTCCTCCCTTTGCTCTTATTTTAAAAGTCTTGAATAAAATAATTGAGGACGAAGCGAGGGGTATTTTAGTCGTGCCCGACTGGCCAAGCCAAGTCTGGTATCCGCGCTTCACGAGCCTAATATCTGGCGACCCGATATACTTGGGCTCAGTCTCTGACCTGATGCTTTCCCCTTTCAGGTCCACCAGTCACCCGCAGGCCAAACATCTACGCCTAATACCAGCGATTGAATCAGGGCGTCGTTTCTAAAGAAAGGTGCACTGCCGGAGGCGATAGATATCATAATTGCGTCCTTAGCACCCGCAACTGTCAAACAGTATTACAGCTCACTAAGAGCTTGGTGGTCATTTTGTCAAACCAGAGGTTGCGACCCAGCAGAACCTTCCGAAGAGACTCTACTGAGCTCCCTTTCTGATGCCTTTAAAAAAGGAGCATCCTTTAGTGTGCTTAACACACACAGAAGCGCGATTACTCTCATTTCACCAAAGAGATTAGGAGATGACTTACTAGTTTCTTGCTTCATGAAGGGCGTTAGTCGATTAAAACCGCCAAAACCCACATATGATGTTGTATGGGACGTGGACGTAGTTCTGAAGTCTCTAGAGGATATGGGACCCTGGGAAGAACTCCATCTAACTGATCTTACGCTTAAAACCGTCACTTTGCTAGCACTGGCTACCGGCCACAGGGCTCAAACCCTGGCTAGCATAAAGCTAAAAAATATCACATCTTCAAACGTAAGCCTAGAGACCAGAGTCCCGGATCTTGTAAAGACTTCCGGACCTGGCAGATATCAACCGTTCTTTTCCTTCGAAAAATTTGTGAACAGACCAAAAGTCTGTATTGTAACGGCGATCGAAAAATATATTTCTGTAACGGCCTCACTTAGGCCCGATAAATCTGATAAGTTATTTATAGCTATAAGAAAGCTCTACTCGCCTGTTGGCTCACAAACGATTAGCAGATGGGTGAAAGCAGTATTAGAAAAGAGTGGTATTAATATGAATATGTTCTCGGCACACTCTACGCGACATGCAAGTACCTCGGCAGCTCAAAGAAAAGGCGTCAGCCTATATGTTATTAAAAGATCAGCTGGCTGGTCTGAGGGTTCACAAGTTTTTGCCAAGCTTTATAGTAGACCAGTGGGCCAAAATAAAAGCATATTTGCATCTGCAGTCCTAGATTCTAATGACTAAGCCTTGTTTTCTTGTAACTGATATATTTATTACAACTAATAATTAGATAAAATAATAAGAGAAAAAATTTTTTTATTTCAACGCTGAACAGCTACATTGTGTTCATCGTGATATTGGGAACGAGGCGGCTGAAGTATAATTAAACGGTCAAACGAACTTACCTGTACGTGAAGTTCGACCGTAATTATACGAAGGAGCCTCGTTCAAAGATATCACGGTCCCATCCCATAGGTAACTATAATTAACCCTACCCAAATACTAATAAAAAAAAAAAAAAAAAAAAATTTTCCCTGCTAACACTCCGAAAAAAATGAGTAGAGCGAGCGAGCGGTAGGACCAGCGACAGCGCCGGCGCCCTCCCCCCGCTTTAGATTTTTCAAGTACTATAAATCTGCATACTCTCTAAAATTTGTGGCTAACGTACGGTAGAAAGAGGGGACTACAGTGTGTTCATCGTGATATCTTCGAACGAGGCTCTTTCGTATAATTACGGTCGAACTTCACGTACAGGTAAGTTTGTTTGACCGTTTAATTATTGTCATAACTGGGGGGGGGGGGGTAATTATTGTGGGGTATTCAGTCTTAAATAACTAACATAGGCGAAAACAAATCCTTAGTCGGCACTATGTACAGATACTTAAATATGTACTGCACTACATTCAGTGCTTGTTCAACCGTCGACCTAAGCAGTTCTCCTGTATAATACTGCTTGGATAAACACGTGGTTCACTATTAACTTGGACGTATACTTCCTTTGTTGAAGTACACCTTATCTTGGGGAGCTTCGTGCTGGGGCTTGCATACATATATACTAGTGGGGCTGACGCCTCCCCCCCCTAACAGATTGAGTAGACAAAATAACGACATTACTCGTGTATTCAACAACAGCAGAATACGTGACTCCCAAAGGAGTTGATAAAACATAATAAAATTTATAAATAATATCAGAGGTCTTCCATCACAATAATTAAAATTAAAAATAAATGCTAGAGTAGTGTTAATAGGAACTTTAAATATATCAGACGGTCTCTGTAGAGTCACAAGATTAAAAATAAAAAAATTATTTAAGTGTAATATAGAAGCAGAAATAATAACGGGAGAAAAAAAAGGAAAACAAAGTTTATATTTCTAGAAAAACATTGAATACTGGCACCTCATCATCATTACCTTTTGTCTTCTATAGAAAATAGTTTTCCTTTGTATTAGCATTTTATATGTTCAACAAATCACAAGAACAGAGTTTTGATTTCTTAGGATTGTATATTAAAAAACCTTTATTGTCTTAGGAGCAATTCTACGTTGCTTTATTAAGATGTAAGAATCCAAAAAAAATTGTTATTCAAATTAAATCCGACCCACCGGAAAAAGAAAGACGGAATTCCATGTGTGATTACTTCTGTAATACCTTCAGGAAAGTTATGTGGCATTACGTATGGTTTTACGTATGGCATTACATGAGGGGTTTTAGCTAGGTAATGCCATATGTAATTCCATTTGAAGAAACACATAGAATTACAAATTGGAAAAAGGAAAAAATTGTCATCTAGAAATAACTGCAGATACTGTAATGCGTCATTTACTGTGAACAATTAGTGTTACCATCTGGATGGTAACTCGAAAACAAGAGGATTTAAGTTATGTTTCAGGAATAAAAAAAAAAATAAAAAAATAAAATTTTTTTCTACAAAAGTAAAATCAGCTGAATCCCCTTGTTTTGGAGTTATCATCTCGATGGTAAGACAAATTGTTAACTGCAAATAACTTATTATGGTATTTTGCAGTTATTTCTAGATGATAGAAATTTTTTCTTTTTCCAATCAGTAATTCCATGTGTTTTTCTATATGGAATTACATATGACATCACCAAGCTAAAACCCTTTATGTAATGCCATATGTAAAACCATGTGTAATGCCATATGGCTTTCCTGAAAGTTTTACAGAAGTAATTTTACATAGAATTCCGACATTTTTTTTCAGGTGGGGAGAATAAATCAGAAATTATAAATATTGTTTAGCAAGAAATTTTTCAGTAATTCAAAAATATGTAACTTTCAAGATCGTCACATTTAAACAGACGTATGTTAATTCATAAAAACCATGAAAAACAAATATGTGAAAAATGTAGAAAGGGTTAAAAGAACAGATGGGTTAAAATGACACATAAAATGTCACAGCATTAAGCTAACAGAATGAATTGTTGTTTCAAAAGCTTCATTGTGCTTATCTATTTAATTATACCTCCTTCTGAATTCTGTCTTTTACTTAATAAAGTCCTCAAGTAATCAAGAACTTTACATTTGAGTAAAGTAGACATGAACTAGAAAGAGATTTGAAATGTAAAAGTTCAATCAAGTTAAATAAATAATGGTACTTCAGAGACATATAGTGAGTAAGGGGGAGCGAATAGAGAGACCTATGATTAGTGACTTCTAAAACCCCCAAAAACGAGGTATGACTTGGGTACTAAATTACGTATATTTTTTAACATTTATGATAGTAAGTAAAACATTCTATAAATAAGTATTTTTTGGGGAGCGAGGGGGAGCGGGGGGGCTGAGACGCACTTTTGTCAATACAACTATATATAAATACAGTAGGGACTTCAATCCCTAGTGTCAACACAAGATGCTCCACACAGTGAATCTCGGGCAGAGCTGAGACGAAGGGGCCGTAAGTAATATTATATATCTGCTACAATGTTCGTCATTCTCGTACGGAATTACAACTTTTATCCCTATGGACAAAAATTTTATGTGCATTTCTAATGCTTTTTGAAAAGCAGTTTAGATCTCCCTACATAATGGACAAACTAATAAACTTCATAATTTGAAATGTATGCGGTACTTTGTGGGGTAATATTTACTTTTTGAAAAATGTTTCTTAGCTGCATAAGTTTGCCTTGCTCGTTTCCAACAAATATTAGTTCCTGTTTAATTGTATTGGCTGCATCATTTCTAAAAATATGGTATGATTAGACAGTGAAATTAATAAATTTTATGAAGCAAAGTAATAAAAAAAAAAAATATTTTAAACAGAAAATTAAAATTATTAATGTACTTTTGACCAATTGTTATAGTAGTAAGTTGTCTAAGATTATGTCGACACCAATATGTTACATCAACAGGATTCGTAGCACTAAACATAGCACATCGTAATTTTTCATTTTGGCAAGCTTTTAGAATTTCCTCTAATTGATTTTTAAATGCTATGTTACCTTCTTCAAACAACTTGTCAGCTTCATCAATGATAAGCCACTCAACTCTACATGAGTTATAAAATTTATCAAGAAAATAGTAAATGACAAAGTGAACGAATTAACATAAACTTAGAAATACAAAATACCTTGAAAGTGAGATTGGATTTGATTCTTGTCGTAATAAAGTTAAAAGCCTCAAAGGGGTGGATATTAATATGTCTAAAAATATTCCAGTAAATTTTTGACAAGAATAATTATTTTACAGTAAAGCATTGTTTATACACACCAAATGTATTCCAACTTTTTTGTCCAAATTTTTCTGTAACTCCTATTGATGCATTATGGAACACTCCAAATTCACATCGATCACTCAGTGTTAAGAATTCTCTAAGGATCTGTTGAACCAACTCTCTAGTAGGAGCAAGTATTACAGCACGTAAGCCCAGTTCTCTGTGTTCCTTTAATTGTATAATGACAGGCAATAAAAAAGCTAAAGTTTTTCCAGATCCGGTTGGAGCACAAGCCAATAAATTTCGTTGCTGTATAACAAATAATAAATAAGTCAGTAAAGAGTACAAACGCATTACTGTCAAGGACATGATACAAAGTATGAAATAACCAGTTTAATAGTATGAACAACTTATAAACATGTCTCACCTGCAACATAATTGGAATAGCTTGCATCTGGATTGCAGTAGGTGCAGCATAATGACGGAATATACTCTGCATAATACAACTTTTGACATTGTGGTAAACACAAATTTGTTGAAATGCTTCAATTGGTGGTGGTATTCTGGTTCCTGTAACATGAACCAAATGTTCATCTCTACATAGATTGACCTAAAAAAATAAGAAATTTTATAAATTTTTTGGGATTAGTTATGCACTTGCATTATAATACGAATTTCTCACCTTCTGACGTTCTTGTTGTGTTAATACATCCCCTGTTACTTTACTTTTTTTTTTTTGCCTGCTGTTCTTACTATCCTCAGCTGCCACAATTCCACCCAACAACGTTGGAACGTTCGAATGTATATTATTTATTTTGTTTAAATTACTTCTTTCTTCCACTCTATTTGACAGTTTATTTTTATCTTCACGATCATGATTGTTAACAAGTATATCAATAGGGTTATCTTTAAAGACATTCTCTTTGAGTTTTGTTACACTTTTTTTAAAAAAATTTCCATCCTTATTTTGTATTTCAGCATTTATTTCCTCCTTAACAGTTATTGCACGTTTTTCAAGCTAGAAATTAAAATTATTTCAACATTAACATTTTGACATTTTTCTGCAATGATTATTGGAATTCTGAGGAGGTCGATCAAACAGCTGAAAAATATAAATCTGTACACAGTACATAACCAACAATATCAAATATTAAAGATATGAACAGTATAAAAGCTCGGAGCATAATTCAATTAAAATATAACATAGGGTACCTGATATTTTTTAGCGTCGTTTGTAAAATGCTCTTTGTCAAATCTTATACCAGAAGATAACATTTGGAAAATATCAAAAGTATCCATCATAAATAATGTATTGATAAAAGCTTTAATGTGTAAGGCTCCGGTCACATGGAGAGCGTAACGCGTACCACTACCGCGTAACCTTTTGAGCCTATATGAGAGTGAGAGAGAGGTACGCGTATTTTACCTCTCTCTCTCACTCGTATGGGCTGAAATGGCTACGCGGTACGCGTTACGCTCTCACTCTCCATGTGCCCGCAGCCTAAGGGCTCGGGCACATAGAACCGCGTAAAGCGTAAAGCGTATCCATAGAGATATTGTAGATAGAGTAGGCAAGCCACCGATTCTTCTGTAAGTGGAAGCGTTAACACGATAAAAAGAGATGCAACTTTGGGCAAACTGTGGAAAGTCTATACGACCTACGCAATGACCCAATATCGCAAAGAAAAAGTGAAAAGTGTAATGATTAAGCTGTATGAAATGCATTAACGGCTCTTAAATAAAAAGAAAAAAAGAAGTATATACTTGAAAACTTTTTTTTGGACATGTACGCAGGTTAGAATTCACTTACAGTGAGAACTTCGAAAGCTTTCTTTGTTGACAAGGCAGCAGATTGGTCAACTGAGTCAACTCCCCTCTACTTCACACTTACGCGATACGCTCATAGAGATATTATACTACATTATACTATATTATACTATAATATCTCTATGAGCGTATCGCGTAAAAGTAAGAAAGGTTAGGTATACGCTACTTTGTGGTCACATAGAAAAGGCGTAAAAGCCTCGCGTTCTCGCATATCGCGTAAGTGTGAAGTAGAGGGGAGTTGACCAATCTGCTGCCTTGTCAACAAAAAAACTTTCGAAGTTCTCACTGTAAGTGAATTCTAACCTGCGTACATGTCCAAAAAAAAGTTTTCAAGTATATACTTCTTTTTTTCTTTTTATTTAAGAGCCGTTAATGCATTTCATACAGCTTAATCATTACACTTTTCACTTTTTCTTTGCGATATTGGGTCATTGCGTAGGTCCTATAGACTTTCCACAGTTTGCCCAAAGTTCTTACGATTTATTTTTCATCCACGTCAGAAATTCGATTAATTATACAATTGATAATGTTGTTGTTGATATTAGCTGCTGACTGTATTTACAGCTTGCATACTTTATTTACGCTATACGCAAAAAAATTTGTCATCGCGCACATGGGTACAAAAATACGGGCGTAACTTTATTTTTGCCATGAGTGCGAGCGAGACAGCATGTGCAAAGCCAACGAAATACTGGCTGTGATTGGTTTAAAAACATTAACGCGCGTATTTTTTACTCCCATGTGCGCAATGACAATGTTTTTCGCGTAAAGCGTACCTTACCTAACTTTCCATGATCCTATAATTTTACGCGATACGCGATACACTTTACGCTTTACGCGGTTCCATGTGCCCGAGCCATCGGAACGTTGCCAGAGAACATAGAAGAATTAAAGACTGCTCGTTCTTATGTACCGCGCTGAAGCACAAGTAGAATAAGACGCAACATCGAACGTGGGTATCTGTCCTTCTCGTTCATTGCCAAAGTGAGGAATGTGCGAGAGAGAGAGATGCCCACGTTCGATGTGGTGTCACCTTCTACTTGTGTTTCAGCGCAGTATGTAAGAACGAGTAGTTAACATTTTTTTTATGTCTATGGCTGCAGCGTGCTTAGCCCTGGGCTCTGGGGCCTGGGGCCTCCGGGGTCTAATCATGGTGTAAAAAGTGAGAGTATTCCAAGAGGCAGGGCGCGTGCTCCTGGATCGATGCTTTTGGAGCGTTCCAAAAGCTGAAAATCACTGGCCCGCGTCTAAAGTGCAGATTTGTTATCGGCTGAGTGTATTTTAGGTGACTTGTGTGATGAGTCTGATGTTATTAACGTGAAGGATCCTTTATAAACAAAAAACTTTATATTAATTTAAATCACCTATGTATTACAACATTTAAAAGATATACAATATATACAATATATATATATATGCAATTGGTTTTATCTAACTCCCTTCACAATGTGTATCCTCTTATCAGTTAGAGCAGTTCAGGCGCACGCATTTTTAGCTTTTGAAACGCTCCAAAAGTGTGTGACCGCGTGCGACCTGTCTTTTGAAATACCCTCAATACATAAGGTGGTATCTTCTGTCACCAAACTGATCAGCCAATCAGGAGACTTGGAACAAGCGACCTTCCATATTGGATTTTCCACCAATGAGCGTAAAGAGCGCATTGTTCAACTACTGCTACACATAAACAAGAGTACAGGGTAAAAAATTTACTCAATAAATAATATGTTTAAAATTTGTTAGGTGCACTATATTATGTGAAAGTATAATTTTACATAATCATCGGATTATTTGGAAAATATACAATGAATACAGTTTTTTAAATATTTTACTAAACAAATTTTACAAGTTTTTCTCTTTTATGAGAATTTCAACGTCAAGAGTCAGTTTTTTGGTCCATCTCTAGCAATCTAATTAACGTTATCATTCGTACGAAGCTTTTAATTTAATACCGCTTTTCAAGGTGAGTTGAATTTATTTTCAGCAATAAAGTGTAAGAAGTTAAACAACGCGCTCTCTACGATCATTGGTGGAAAATCCAATATGGAAGGTCGCTTGTTCCAAGCCTCCTGATAGGTTGATCAGTTCGTTAGCTGAAGATCCCACCTTATGTAATTTAGTAAACCATGGGTCTGATTGAGTTCTTCGATAAACGCAATAGCTTTCGAGATTTACAGTCATAATATACCTTTAAACATTAAAAAGTTAACTTTCTGTTGTGTTTTCGTTATGCAATTGGTGGTGTGACGGTGAATCTCAAATTTTATTGCGTATAGCACGCAATTAGACCCCTGGACCCTGATGAAGCAGTGAAGCTCACATGGAAAGACCCGACAAGAATGTGATCCAAAGGCTAAGAGCAAAGCCTGGCCAGGCAAGCGTTACGTTGATGCCAGGACCTAAGGTTGACCATAGGCCATAGGCTACGAACAGAGCCTGGCCAGGGTATGTGTGTAGATATGCATATGTCACTTCTAGTGACGTCTACCCACTGTCGGTAACATATACCATATGGTATTCGTCACCTAGCTATCGCAACCATAAATCGATACCAACGCACGCTCGGTCGATCGCGTGCTCATCAGCCATTTCTGCTCCCGAACCCCACCCCCACCAAATACAACAGCTAGCTTTTACGCCTGCAACTGCACCTTTTTTCCAAGAATATGTTTATCAAATTTACTTCCACTCCTTGTCTTACCACCGGTCCTACCCCCGCTTATCGATCCGATTAAGGGTTTAAATAGAACCGCGCCCTGCGAGCTCGTCGATTTTGATTGAACTTGTACTGCAAAAAGACAACCAACTTAATCAAATTGTTTAACTTGTTTACAAATGAGAAAAAAAGACTTAACCGATAGTATAAATTTCACTTAGGCTCCCAAAATCAAGAAATTAGTGGCATCCTTATCGGGAATAATAGACACGGAAATCGTCACAAGCGTCAGTCAAAACGAATAAAGAATTGATATCTTCACAGATTTACTTACTCAAAATATAAATCCCTTGGAAATAATAACTGCCATTCAGCAAAAAGAAGCTATCACCGACTTCAACTAAGAAATTAGTAAACTTTTAAGGAATGACATGGAAATTGCCGAAGATCTTTTAAAACTAGACCTCAATAACTCACTTAATCCATACATGAGAGCATCACAGTTCACTAACCCTAATAAAACAAATTGTGAATCGCGATTTCCACTAGGCAATAATACAACCAAATCTACTGAAAACAAAATCACCAACACTTCAGCACCGGTACACTTCCCAAAATTATCAAAACACCTCAAAATCACAACTCCAACCATTTTACTCACAACAATCACTCCAGTTTTTTTAAAAAGCCCTCATCAATCACTCCTTTCCAAATGATAAATAGCTTGTATAACATTAATAATTCAACTCTAGAACCCATTCGCAATCTTTCTTTAAAAGACGCAATCGAAATGATACCTACATATAACGGGTCAAACATCCCACCCTCAACCTTTTTAGACGGCTGCAGAGAAGCATGCCACGTAATTCCTAAAATAAACGAACCCGATTTAGCAAAATCAATTAAAAAGCGACTTTCGGGAGAAGCATTACTCTCCACTAAAACTAAAATTTTTGACACAATCGAAGAGATAGCAATATTTTTTACAAACATTTTCTGATCCGCAAAAACATGGTATCATATAATGGGCAAGCTAGCGGCGTTAAAATTAAAAAAAAAGAACATCATCTCCTTTTCTAATAGAGTCAAAGGCACCGCCCAAGAATTAATTGAAGTAACTCTCCGTGAAGGTCGAATACATCAGGAATTCTATACACAACTGAAACAAGACAAAGTTAAATATTTTATAAGAGGATTACACTGGGTAATAAAAGCACGTATGGGCCACGCAAATAAGCTAGAAACTGTTACAACTCAAGCTATAGAATTCAAAAGAGACTTTGCGTATTATGAACACCCGAACATCTACAAGAAACAGTAAAAATCATAACTAATAGACAAAGTCAAAATTCACGAATAAACTTAATCCAAACTCCAGAAAAATGCCAAATTTGTGAAAGACGAGAGCACACAGCAGGCAATTGCTGGTATCGCTATAATACTAGTAAAGCCGACACTCACCAAGCCACGCTCATGTACAATGCTACGCTATCCACCACCGAACGCCGTCCAAGCCACTCCCTTATACCCGTATACACTCAGTCCCCAAAAAAGGGCGTGCCATAGAGTCGACCATCACATAATGATCCCGCACTTACATATCAATCTAACAATTTTATACCAAACCAATACACGCAGCAACAAATTCCGAATTCAATTAATAATGATCGAAACAATAAAAAAACGTGCAACTATTGCAAAAAATTAGATCAATGGAAATGTGAATATAAAAAAGAGGCCTACATACGGTATAAAATCGAGGCTTCGGGAAAAGACTCAGGTATCTTCCAAAGAGACAGATTGGGAGAAACCAGCGATGTAATACTAACAACTTCCCAAAACAGACAATAGTTAACAAAACCATCTTACTAAAC